GAACATTTCAATACTAATGAGGAGATAAATACAAAGCAAAAAAAAAAAAAAATGTGTCGGTCTGTATGTCACAAATAAGCCAGAAAAATCATTACAGACCAGTGATGATGCATACGTTTCTGGTGGCAATAATAATTGAGGCATTCAACACTGAGTCCGCTTGGAAAACGTCCATCAGTGTCAAGGCTACGGAAGAAAATATTAAAACAGGACACCAAACCATTTTTCCCCTTCCCACTGAGTGTTTATTTTATAGCTTTTGCATTAGGTAATCAACTGAAACACTTTTCAACAACAGAAAGCTGGCAGAATGTTAAGGAAAAGGAGTGATTATCTCTCCAACAGATGTGACAAAATGGCTTCAAGTTGGAAACAGTATTGCATAAATGAATCAAGTGAATGGGGGAGGAGGGAGAAGGGAGAGAAAGCCGAGACAGAGGAAGGAGTGAGCATCTTCCGGCATGGATTGTGGGGGGGAAAAGGCACTGTTTAGCTGTCTGTGGCATTCATAAAATAAGAGTCAAAATATACAACCCATGTTCCTCAAAATTACATTCAATGCTGCTTTAGAGATGCTCACGCTCCTGACTCTCAACAGAAAGCTAGGGAAGCTGTCTAAAAAATCAGATCGACAGCACCGGTAGGTCTGAATCATAGGCTCACCAGTTATGTGTTTTAAAGAGATCATCATCATCAGGGTCCTTCTATAAATAGTACTGCAAAGGTCACAAAGCTGCATGAACCTAAATTATAGGATAAATCTGACTAACTGATCGCCCATTACAAGCTCTAAAATTCCCACTGCAGGAAACCAGAAAGTAAGCTCCACTCCAGAGGAGCTGAATTGGCAGTGCATTTGAAACAGGGATGCTTCTCCCTCAAAAGGCTGCCTGAGCAGCAGTTCGGTGGGCTTGGTACAGCAATTCTGCAGAGGGTAAATGGATGCAAAACTCTCACAGCGATTGCCCTGCTTCCTCTCACAGTGAATAGCACTAATTTATGAAGAGGCGGATTTTCAAACCATAAAGTAGAAGCACCTGGGCCTCTTACAGACAAACTTCATAAGAGGTTACAGTACCATACCCTACTTCTCATAATAAAGGCTTCTAGGACCATAGGTGTGGTTGGAAATGATCAATGGGAAAACCTAGATGGCTTACACAGATGTTCTCTACATAGAATTTGAATATAAATTAAAATACCAGCTATGCACTTGGGAACCAGCCTTTAGTTAAATCCTCTAGTGCGTTTAAGAACTTTTATTTCATTTTATTAGAAAAAGAGAATCATCGTCTACAAACTATTTTCTTTCTAACTATGCAAATACAATGAGCAAATCATCTGTAATATCAAAATACTGTTTGTAAACCACTGATGGCACTAACAATTTCAGGAATTTCCAGTAGGACATATATTGAGAAAGAGCAACACCAGATTTCAAATTATAGGCATTAACTGAATTTTAAGACTACAAAATAAAATTTAAAGTTTAAAAGTCAGTAAGTTTAAGTTCTCTGATTTTCAATAATTGAAACCCAATCACCAAGAATTCAGAAGCACCCAGTATGTTCAAAGTTGCACAGATGGGTATGGATGATAGAAAAGTAATCCCCATGCAATATTTTAAGTGTTGCTATCAGATATATTTAAGTGATACTTTACAGATTAAAGCTCCGTAAAACCAAAATATATCCTCCCCATTATATTTTAAAAGTCACAATAATTTATCAACAGTTGCCATTTCACAGCAATTAGAAAACAGGAGTTGATACAAGTTGAACAAAAAAAAAAGTACTTTTTCCTCTTTCAGGAAATAAACATAGATGTACGTACACACACACACACACACACACACACACACACAACATCGTTTTTTTACAATACAGAGTGGTTCATTTGCTTTTGTATTATTAAAAAAAAAATTCCCTATGGTCAAAATACTGAAAAAGCGCAAAGGCTGAAAAAAGGAAACCACATTTGCCACTTTTAAAAAATACATTATTGTCTCAGTGGTTCTATATTTTTATTTTTATTATTAATATAAAGTTAGGTATTACGAGGACTCTGCGGTTGTCAGACTCCTAGGGCTGTACTGGACCAGACGGAATTAAATTTAACCCTTTCTCAGTCTCCAGGAAGGATACTCCCTAACCTATCCTACAAGATGACAGAATAAATGCCTCTATTCCAAACTGTTAAACTGGGAAAGAAAACATGCTCACCTGGAAGCAATCTAACTCATGAAAGTTTATGAATCTGTGGGAGAGACCGCCCGAATGAGAAAGATATTCTTTGGATAGAAGTTAGGAGCTTTTGGAAGTATATAAACTTTTAGGTCACTAGAATACAGATTTAAAAATGATTTTTCCATAAATAATGATCTATTACAGGAGTTGGTAAACTACAACCAATGGTCCCTATCTGGCATGTCACTTGCTTTTGTAATAAAGTTTTATTGGAACACAGCCATGCTCACTCATTTATGTGCTATCTATCCTTGCTTTTGTGTTAACATGACAAGCGTTGAGTAGTTTTGACAGGGACTGTACAGACTGCAAAGCCTAAAACATATACTCTCCGTATCTTCAAAGGAAAAGTTGACTGAACCCATGATGTAGGGCACTCCATACTACTCTAGTTTCCTAAGAGTTAGTGCACCTCAAGAAGATTTTAGCATGTACTCCAAGAGTAACCTGCATACTGGGGGTTCCTTAGCAGAATAAATGTCAAACACATCACCTTAAGGTGGTGCTTTACTTTTGGGCAAGGGAATAATTTGTATAGATTTTCAACAAATATCTGTAAAAGTTCATAAATACACAAGAAAGAAAGAAAGCCAAGTAAGAAAAGTGTGCCTGCCAATGTTCTCTTAATATCCTCCTAGTATTGGAGGTGGGAGGGAAGGGCGCTAAACTGATTCTTTCCACCAACTTCCTTTAGCTTTTCTTTAAATCTACGTTTTTTCATTAAGTAGTGTTCCCTCCTCACCTCCCATACAGTTAATAACCTTTAGAGTAGTCTGCCTAAAATGTTTGCCTAGTTTGTGAGGACTTGTTCAGGAATAGTGTTTATTTAAACTAAACATAGTAAAGATTATTCTTTTAGAAAACGTGTCTAAAAATCTTAGTTACTCCAAGAAGGGAAAGATGGCAAAGAACGCACAGGGTAATGAAACTCTGCAAAATATACCTGAACAACCAGAGGTAAAAAAGAGCTACCATTTCTGAATGGTAATGGAAAATAAAACCAGACAAGTCTCTCCAAAGTTGAAGAGCAAATTGTACCCTGCCCTGAGTCAGCTAAGAAAGTCTTTTTCAAACAGGGAACCTCCTGAACTCAAGCAGCTGTTCATGAATCTTTAAGAGTTAGTTCACAGGTGTTTCGTATTTCCATAGTTGTTGAAACAGAGAAGATAAAACAGAGAAGATATTTATCAAACACAAATTTCTATCAAGATTCACTTTTTTCCCCAACCAGCTAATAAGTGGACTTTTCCCTTTCTTTGTTAAAAAAATGAATGGTAGGAAACCATATGTTAAAGATGTTTCCATAATACCTTACGTTTATATAGCGCATTACAGTTTTCAAAGTGCTTTCACATGCCATCTCATGTAATCCTCACAACACCCCTGCGAGGTAGGTACAGCAGGTATTAGTATCCTCATTTCAAGATGAGGAAATTGAGGCAAAGAGAGGTTAAGTGACTTGCCCAAGATCACCCAGCTGATAAGCGGCAGAGCCAGGACCAGAAATCAAATTTTCTGACTCCTTGTCCAGTACTCCTTCCACTATAGCTACTGCCCCAATTATGAACAATGTACTGTGTATCAAAATTGAAAGGTTACTGAAGTTCATTTCAGTGATGTCTTACCAGTAAAGTTAAATGAGAACTACAAGAACAGTAGGTCTGATGATTTTACTTGACTTCATAAAACGGGTGCAAAACCACTTTTATCTAATTACGTCTAACCTTTTGGTCCAAATACATAAAATATGCAATATTTACAGCATTTTCCTTTCTTTTTTTGTAAATGCAATGCTTTAAAACACATTATAAAGCACCTTAGTAAAAATAGTCTACAAGTAAAAGTACAGAAGAAGTAGGAAAATCCTACCCATACCACAGCTCACTAATGGAGTTATAATATGGAATCACCAATGTCAGTTTACTGCTTTACAAATAACCCATGGGGGAACAAATACTAAACTTACTTTTTTGATATTAATGTGTGGAAGTCTTAAACTAAAACGTCAGCATTCTTTGAAGTGTCTCCCCAGTCTTAGGTAGTGGGGAGACAGGAATGAGAAATACTGCTTTGATTATTTTAAAATTGGTTTTTAACACTAAAGATCTTTTTTTTTTAAAAAACAATATTAAAATGGCCTACATAAATATGGGCAATTCCAACTACAGCAGAGACATTCTCAGCAAACAGGATCAAACATTCCAGTAAATTTCATGAGACAGGATTCACGAAAACAAAGCACACACTGCCCAACAGTTAATAACACTATTTGGTACAGGTGTGTATCTCGAACCTCCAGGTGAAGGTGGAAGTAGCAAATGGACTCATCTTCATTCATGGTTAGTTGGAAAAAAAATGCTTTATCAAAAAGGGAGTATCAGAACTTTTTTGTGAAATTGTATTTAGCCTCTGACTAGACCTGCTCTGTGTTGATTTTTAGGTGATGTGTAGGCTTTTTTTTCCAGGCAGGAGATTATAACTCCCATGAAAATGTAACCAAGGGGGTAAAAGAAAGAAAGAAAGAAAGAAAGAAAGAAAGAAAGAAAGAGAAGAAAGAAAGAAAGGCTGAAACTTAAACTTCTCAGGCCACTGAAACTTACCAGCCAGTATCTACTTCCTCGGTGTTTCTGTTTCCTAACTTGGCTCAATACAAATTGTCTTATACACCTATCAGCAACCGAGCTGTAGAGCTGAGAACTAAGGTGAAGACAGGGTCAAAGTTTTAGTTCAAGAATCGAACAGTCACACCTGTACTCAGTTCGATTTAGGGTAAATCTTTTCATAGAAAAAGTTTTGTGCGAGGATGTAGAGGTCTCCGTCTTTTTCTCGTACGGCGTGGGCTCTGATGAACTGGAACTGCTCCAGAGCAAACTCATAGAACTCATTCTCCATTTTCCATATGTCAGACTGCTGCAGTTTTGCAATGGTTTGTTTAGTGGGGAGCTTCTTCTCCGTGGTTTTCCTAAGATGAGATTTCTTTCCTACTTACAAATGAGAAAGAGAAGAGGTAAATACTTGTGAGAACAAATGATGGATGCTTCTTTATGTGAAAAGATGAAGTCAATGTGGCACATTGAAGGGCGGGTAACAACTGTTTTGCATTAATATCATTCAGACAAAAATGGTGCCCTGAACCTACCAGAACTGTGATTTACTCCTTCATAATGTAAATCCTCAACCTGTTTACAGACTTAATTAGCTGTCAAATAATAAAAATAAGGATCACCATCAGTAAAGAGTAGGCTGTCACCTTACATGCTGTAATCTCAAATGCTTGGTGTTCTGACTATTTTTTAAAATATGACAAAATATCTAACTAAATACTAGTTAGATATTCAAATATTCAAACTAAATGCTAGTTTTACCATAACCTGCATTCTCTATGTGTTAGAAGCTAGGGCCCATGCATACTCTAGGAAGAGTTGCTAGACTGCATTTTCGCAAAGAACAGGGGAAAAAAATCAGAATCAGACTGGACCAGAGCACTGTCACTTTTGGCTATGTCACACTGTCAAGGCTGCTGAAGCACACTTAACCATGACAGACACAGCACATGCTGATGATCATCATGAACGTGACTCAGTCTCACCATCCCACCCCTACTTTAAACAGCGTTCGGCCCGTAGATCTAAGGTGCAATATGGTCATAATGTTTGGTATCTGCCATTAGTTAATATTACACATTTCTAACTAAGGCTGGTTCTGCAGATCATATTTTTCCACTATTCCTACAATGCCTTCTAATTATCATCTAATGCATGTTTATTCAAAAAATATTTTGTGCGTGTGTGTGTGCCAGGCACTGTTTTGTATTGAAAATGGTAAGAAGAAATAGGCAATATACCTGCTTTTCTGGACTTATTTCTTGTGCTTTAGTCAAGAAACTGGAATCACACCTATTTTTCAAGTTGCAGACAAAGTTAAGGACAGCTTACAAAAGAAACCCATCCTTTGTATACCTGTACGGTAGAGTTCTGTAGCACCCCTGAAGAACCGGGGCAAAGCTGCCTCCAGTAACATGATAAAATCTTCAAGCTCTTCAGTAACTCCCACCAGAAAGTATTCATTAATTAGGTTATACTTGGCTTGATCCATGGCCCACCTGCTTCCCACATTCCTAAAACCAAAGAAAAGGAATTAAAAACCTGGCTGTGAAATCTGCTAAGGACTTTTGATGCCTCTGACCCTATGTATTATGGAGGAAACAAACACATGTCCATCCAAAGCCTTAATGCTCTTTTATTAATGTTCCTCGTGGGGAGGGGGGTACTTGATTTCAAAGGTCCCTCCCACTTCTATGAATCTATGGAACAAACTAAAAAAGTTCATTTAAAATCTTCTCAATAATGTCCAAAAGAGCAATACCCTTTATTGCTCTAAGGTCGGCAAACTTTTTCTGTAAAGTGCCAGAGAGTAATAAATACCTTAGGCTTTGCAGGCCATATGTTCTTGGTCACAATTATTTAACTTTGCTTTTGCAGAATAAAAACAGACAATAAGTAAATAAATGGAGATGGCTGTGTTCTAGTAAAACTTTATAAAACCAGGTGATGGGCCAAATTTGGTCTCCAGGTTGTAATCTGTCAATCCCTGTTCTAAGGAAATGACTAAAAATTGAGAAGATGTTCTTCCTATGCTTGTTATGCTGTTATTATGCTCTGATATAATCTATTAAGAACTTAAGGCGCATAGTGATCCAGTAACATGTCTCAAACAATGAGGAAAAGAATGAAGGCATTCTTTGCATTTCTCGCCACAGTTTTAAGGAAGATATTAACTTTGTGTTCCTTTCTAGTTTTCCTATTAAAATGATTGATTAGAACATATAAATATGTATAAAAATGTGTCATTTTTTTAAACTGTAAACTCTGCACATGCTGAGGAAATAAACTCTTTATTGAAGATAAAATACCTTTTTATTTTCCACCTCACGTTTATTGGTAAACTAGACCACAACCATAATGTTGGCTTCTCTCAAAGTAAAAAGTCAGTTAATAGTAAAACCTGGTGAATGATTTACCCACTAAGCCTTTTCTTGATCTAACGTGAGTGGCTAAAACAATAAGCTTAGGAGAAAACGAGGTTTATGAAATAACCCCTGAACTCTAAATGAAGAGCTCTGCTGGAATAGGGCAAAACATGTAACACCAAAAACAAAAAAATAAAAACCAGCATCTGATGGGGCGCCTGGGTGGCTCCGTCAGTGAAGTGTCCGATTCCTGATCTTGGCTTGGGTCATGATCTCACAATTCGCGGGCCTGAGCCCTGCACTGGGCTCTGCACTAACAGCACAAATGGGCCTCCATGGAATTCTGTCTCTCTCCCTCTTTCAAAATAAAGAAATAAACTTAAAAAAATAAAAACCAGCATCTGAGAAAACGTTGCAAGGATAAGATGTATGAAGAAACTTTTCAATGCACTTAAAGGTAACTATAAAACTAGAAATTACTTAATTACACGTTATTTTTAGCCTGGTCTTTCACTAATTTCCCTATACCTAGCCCTTGACGAATACATTCACACTTGTGAAATACAGATGCTAGAGAAAACAAAGAAGAGCATCAATTTAAGCTTTATCTCCCTACCAGCATTCCGAGCTGTGGCCGCAGAAGAATGGGATTTGAAGCCAGAGCTTCTCCGGAGCACAGTCTGAGCCGCCCTCAGCTACACATTCATCAAAGGTCTGGAATAAACACAAAGCAGCACACATGAGCCCTAAACCCAGGTCTCACCTATCAACTACCCTAACAGGGTAAGTAAGTCATTGAATACACGAGGAGCAGCAGGTGGAACGAGCTAGTGAACTAAAGAGATGGGTGGGTTATGAAAATATACTTAAGATACTGAGGAAAATACATGGATTTTCCTCCCGTCTTTGTTTTATGCCAATCAATGTATATAAGAGGGCTTTTTTTTTTTTGACTGCATGACTTGAACCCTCTCCCCCACTTCAGATAATTTGTCCTTGAGTGTAAATACTGGTTTATGTTGAATTTGTGTATTTGTAATTTCTATCCCCCTTAGGAAATTAAATAAAAATAAAGCTAAAGATACTCTATGTGAAATAACCATTTGAGAAGAATATAAAGTAGGGCTACACTTAAGTCTTCTCTCCTTTTCTCATTAAAGCAAACAAAAGCTCGTTGTACAAAAAGCAGAAATGACCTCAGACACTTATGACTTGCGTGCCCTCCTGTCCATGGTATCTGACTGAATTAATTAAAAGGGAAAGAGACTCACAGGGTATGAACGTAAAATTAATCAACTCCACTTCCTCAAGCACTTACTATCTGCCACAGGCATTTTAACAGTAGGCCCTGTCTACCTGAAATGACACTGAGATACCAGAGAGCAAACTTGGGAACTCGGGTTGTGGTGATGAGACACCCACAAATGCCACCTGTTATTTCTGAGAGGACAAAGTGTGAAAGAGTGGAGTCAAGGCTCTTGAGTTTCTGGAAGCAGGTTTGACCATATTTCAAGTAAGTCTTTAAGGACTCCAAACCTCAGTTTCTAATCTATGCAATTAGATAAACTCAAAGGGCCCTTTCAACCAAAAATCTGAGAACAGGGCAAAAAAATCTTTACACCCAGTGTTGGGTGGTCTCTTTATTCTGGCAACATTCAAAAGACAACAGCAAACACAGTCCACAATCTGCCCATTTCTTTTACCGATGACCTCTTCCATGATACAGTAAAAAGATCTATGACTTGGGTTTGAACCCTGAACCCAGAAAATCTAAGTTTTGTGTTTGTTCCTTATCTAAAAAAGCAGGACAGGATCTTACTTTGAGGAAGAAATAAAATCATGGATGTAAAAGAATCTACCACAGCGACTGGTTCACTGCAGGCATTTGATAAACAGAATGTATCTATGTCTGTGCTTGTCTCTCTCCCCTCCTCCCTAATAGTCAAGTACAATGTCTTGTTGGTTCTTGTTCTCCTTGACCTTCACAGCATTTGACCACCCTCTCCTTTCTGAAATCTCCTGGTCTCTCTGTCCCTAAGAGATTCTTGTTTACTTCTTTGGACACTGCCCTTTCTGGCTTTGCTGGTTCTCTGTACCTTTCTGAATGTATTATTATTATCTTCTTTGAAGGCATGTTTTGGTCCTCCTAATAGTTACGGAAATTCATCTCAACTATCTTCTCTTTGCCCACTCCCTTCCTTAGCTTATTCACATTTCCTACTTCCTTGGCTTCATTTATAATTTCTAGGCAAAGAACTTCCAAATCTGTACCTCCAGATCCATTACTTTTCATCTTCTAATACCTCGTGTGCATTTTCATTTGAATTTCCACTATTACCTCATACTCAATACTTCAGGCAACAGAATTACACTGCCTGTGTAATTCAGACTGAAGATCTCAGAACATTTCCTAACACTTCCTTCTTCTCTCTCCCCTAACATCATTGAGGTCATGTCTTTCCAATCTATCTTTTCTTTTTTCAACCTTGCTTTTATCAGGGTCCCACAATGCTGTGTTTCCATTGTTACAATCACTTTCTAATGGGCTCCCCACCTTCCTCCCTTCAACCTGTTCTGTACAGGCATCAGATTAGTGGAAGGAGTCACTTGTAACTTCCTCTACTCAGAAACCCTCAATGGTTTCCGGTGTGTCAACAACAACAAAAATCCAAATTTTTTATTCTGGCTTTAAGAAATGCTTCATACTCTGCCCTCAATATGCTAGTCTAGCTCATCGCCATGTGTAACTTCCATCTTTACCAGATTAGCCTGTTTTGTAGTTTCTCAAGCATGTGATATGTACCTTAAATCTATATACTTTTGTTGACTACATTTACTTCCTCTGAAAGTGCCTTCCTTCTACCATTGTAGTTTACTTGAAGCTACTCTCTCCAATGATTCTGGCCCAAAGTGACTCTTACCTTCTTTGGACTCATATAAATTAATGATATACTGCCTTGTAATAGCCATCTCTTAGGATCCAGATATGTGTATCTACATATATATCCTTACCTGAAGAACTTGCTTCATGTACTTTTTTTTTTTTTTTTTATGTGTGTTATGTTCTCTCTCCTCAACTACAAAGAGAAGTTCTTTGAGGGATCATGCAGTATGCATTTGTGTCCTTTACCGCACACAATCTACTGCCAAGCAAATTGTCTGCATAATCAGTAGTTGTAAATGCACTGCAGGGAACTTACATAAATACTAAAGGCACAGTTCCAGTGAGGACGAAGATAGGGGCAGTAACATCTTTTCATGAAGCATTTTGACAGTCCTTAGAGTTCTCTCAAATTCTCTTAGGATCTCTCTATAGCTAGATACACAAACACAAATTATATATACACAAATAAAGTGAAAACACCTCAGTTTACTCTTCAGACTCAATAAACCCCATTTTAGTGGCCATAACGTTATTGCTCAATCTTACTAGATGGTCTGACTTAGATGTGCTGGCCTAAATCACTTCCTAAAAAGTAGTTTTATTATCATTTATGCCAACTTGTAGCTCATAAAAATAAAACAACTGATGTATGTATCTCTACCATGTTCCAATTTCCAAGAAATCTTTGGCTCAATGAACTGAGTGATGATATATTGGAAGGTTTCTGACTCCATGCCTATCCAATTTAAAAAAGATCCTAGATCATAGTGAGGTGCCTCTGAAGCTCAGAAGAAGCACTCTGCTTCTTTACGCCTCTATCTGATTAAAGTCCCAGATAGAAAATAAATGAATTATTAAGGTGATTGTGGGTGAATGCACAATCTCTACCACCATTTTGTGTAAGACTCAAACATTAAAAAGATTTTGCTTAAATATAAGAAACTAGGATATTAAAATACTGCAGTATTTTTTCTTCCTTTTTTAATTTTTAAATTTTTAAGTGACCTCTACACACAATGTGGGGCTCGAATTTACAATCCTGTGATCAAGGATCATATGCTCTACCGACTGACCAGCCAGGCGCCCCTAAATGCTACAGTATTAGAAATTTCCAGAGTTGCTCTGTGGACAACTTTGGGAATTTATCCACTATTGGAATTAAAACAGATTAATGAATAAGCATGTATTAAATTCTATAGTTAGCCAACTCCTAATTCCTGTGCTCAACTCTTGAAGTATTTTTGTATTTCAAATAAAAAAAATGTGTAGATATTCTTCAAATCTACTTTTGGCCAGTGATTTTAAATCTGCTAGCCCATTCTGGGAGTCTCCCAAAATCCATTCTTCCAGAGTCATAGAAATTTACCTTCTCTTACAGTTAGGTATAGCCATGTGACTAAGCTCCTGTCAGTGCATTGGAGGCAGAAGTGATGTGAACAGGTTCTGGGTCATTTGGTTATTAAAAGGAAACTGCGGGGCTCCTGGGTGGCTCAGTCGGTTGAGCGTCCGACTTCAGCTCAGGTCATGATCTCGTGGTCTATGAGTTCGAGCCCCATGTCGGGCTCTGTGCTGACAGCTCAGAGCCTGGAGCCTGCTTCAGAGTCTGTGTCTCCCTCTCTCTCTGCCCCTCCCCCGCTCATGGTCTGTCTCTCTCTCTCTGTCAAAAGTAAATAAAACATTAAAAAAAAAATAAAAATAAAAAAAAAAAAGGAAATTGCTTGCCTTCTACTTCCTTTCTTCCCACAAGCGAGAAGGCAGATATAGTGGTGACCCAAATCCAACCAAGCACATAAGGACAATGTCTTAAAGAACAGCACAATAACAATATGGAAGGAACCTAGGTCCCTGAATAACAGTGCGGAGCTTAGTTGCTCTAAGAGCCTGGGCCCCTCACTTTTAGGGTTTTAAGTATAAAAATATTATTTAAATTATTTGGACTTCTTTCTTTTAGAAGCTTAGCATCTATTTTAACTAATTCACCTACCAAATATTTTATTAGACAACATAAAGGTGGAAAAACAGATAGGGTTTTGCCTATGTGGTTCCTTCTTATCATTTGGGGGCAGAGTTTTGCTCCCATCAACTAAAAGAGACGATCTAAACATGGCTAGTAGCAAGGAAGACGTGGAGGAAACAACGGACTATGAATAATAAAAAACTGGTGAATGTACATGAGTGTGCCATGTCTTAGCATAACAGAAATTCTCCCATTTCTACATAAATATCTGATGAATAAAGTAAAGCATTTCCTAGCAAGAGAAACCAAATTAAGATAACTCAATACCACCTTTAGCACATCACCCTGATAAACTGGTCCACTAAGATTTTAATCAAGATGAGCTGTTTCACTGACTCCTCTACAGTGACATTAGTACTTGGGTTTCTGTATTCATAGCAGAACATGCCATTCAAATGCATGGTCATCAAAATTTTCCTGCTTACCTGCTAGCTTTTATTAGCTTTGAACACATTTTGGTCATATTTCAGAAATAGGATTTTCTATACATAAATCTTTTTCTCTTATAAAATTTCAAGTCCTTAAGATAAAAGGCAAAAACAAATAAAAACACTCCAGACTCTGTTCCTCTCCCACAAAACCTGGTTCAGTACACCAAAGAAACAAAAAATTATGATCACCTTTTTCACTTAAAAGCCATCTTTGTTTAGAAAGAACAATTTTTTTGTCGACAAGATACAGATATTTTTAAAAGCATGAAAGTCCAAATATTCTCTAGACTATTTAGATTATTAGTTTAGATACTTAACTCTTAAAATTGAAGTTTAAAAAAATTAATCAAAATTTGATGCTTGATAGTGATGACAATTATAT